GGCGCATGCCTGTCATCCCAGAGGCTCAGGAGCTGCGGCAGAAGGATCGTGAATTCAGAGCCAGCCTCAGCAAAAGCAAGGCAGTTAAGCAACTCAGTGACATCCTGTCTCCAAATAAAATACAAAATAGAAGTGAGGATGTGGCTAAGGGGTCGAGTGCCCCTGAATTCAAACCCCACATCTCCCCCACCCCTGCAAAAAAAAAAAAAAAAAAAAAAACAGATTAACAGGAGAAAAAACATATTTAACTATGTACCCGTGGAAGTCCTACATAATGTGAGGCTCCAAGAAGGGTCAGAGAATTGCACTTTACATAGATCCTGAGCTATGGAAAGAAATAAGGGCTTGGGGCTCCTGGTGGGGGGTGACTCCAGCCACAAGAAGGTAAGGGGAGGAGCTGTGTGGTAGAAAGGGTGATTGATTTTGCCTTGAGGGTGGGCGGACAGGCCTTAAGGACCGTGGGTGCTCTTAATGGATTGTTCTGTTGTAGGAACAGATGAGGCAAGGCTCTGAAGACAGCAGGAAACAGTTTTATTTGGCTGCAGCCAGGTTCAGAAGGCACAGCTTTTGCTGTAATCAATCAATTCCCTGAACCCCTATTTCAGGCAGTTTCAGAGTTTTATACCCAGCATGTAAGGGGAAGGGCTCAGAAGTTCACAGTCTGCAGAAGTTCACATGAAAGCAGTTTTTTTTGTTTTTTTTTTTTCCTTGCACTGTTCTGGGCATGTTAACTCTTGGATTACAACACCTGAGAAGGGGAGAGCTTCTTCTCCCCTTTCTTTCCTCCCCCTGCCAGCTGTTACCATGGAGCCCAATAGGGCTTATCTGAAAAATGTAGACATCTCTGTGAAGCCCCAGCTCAAGGCCAGAGGCCTTGTTTACACATTTCTACAAACTATGGATACATGTTTGTGAAAAACTAGTAAGGGGGTATCCAGCACCTGGAGTGCTGATTTCTTCCGGGCCAGTGGCCAAGTAAAACAGGGCAACACGAAAATTGGAAGTTTATCTACACTGAACTCTTCTGTAGACTCTTTTGCTGACAGTCCTAAACACAGCCATGGTAAAGATTTCTGGAGAAGCCCAGTTAAGACTTTTCTGTGAAGAAAGGGAGTGCCACGAAAGTTCCAACAATCAGTCATTTACAATTGATGACATGGCGGCAGTTCCCAGAACAGAGGTGTGCGGGGGCAATAGCACTGGCTAAAGGAGTCACAGGACCAGTCTTGAAATTGGGACTCTAACTTTCAGGGAGAAGAGAGTGGGGACAGAGTGTGTGGGCTCATGGGCTCCCTCTGGGGCAGAGTGGGAGGTAGTTGGGTGGTGGGGAGCTCAGAAGGACTGTTGCAATAGTTAAGGAGAAAGGTAATGAGGCCAGAGGTGGTAGAACCAGAGAGATGAGAGAAATTTCTCCTCACCATGTGCCCCAGGATTGTATGGTCCTGGCCACTTGCAGGCAACATGAGTGAATGAACTACCTGGCCAAGGGGACAGATACATGATGATGACAGTGCATGCTGAATGTACACAGCACGTACTCTTTCTTCAAGACAGGCTCCCTGTCCTTCTGGCAGACCTTTCCAGGGACTAACCCATCTGCCAGGCACTGTGAGGTGTGCTTTTTAGATAGACACTAGTTGACTTAATCCTCCCAAACTATGATCTCCTTGAAAAGATGAGGAAATTGAGGTTCAATCCAAGGTTAGCCAATTTAGGCAGTGGGCAGATCCAGGGAGCTGGGTTTCACTTCCCTGGCCTGGTACCCTAAGTGCCTCACCCTAGACATCTGGTCAATGTGCCTTCCAGCCAACTCCTTAAGAAAGTCAAGTCTGGGCTGGGGATGTGGCTCAAGTGGTAGCGAGCTCGCCTGGCATGCGTGCGGCCCGGGTTCGATTCTCAGCACCACATACCGCACCACATACCAACAAAGATGTTGTGTCCGCCGAGAACTAAAAAATAAATATTAAAAATTCTCTCTCTCTCTCCCTYTCCCTCTCYCTCTCTCTCTCTCTCTCTCYCCCCTCTCTCACTCTCTCTTTAAAAAAAAAAAAAAAGAAAGAAAGTCAAGTCTGGGGGCAAGTGGCCCCAGGCTGGGGTGTCTGCCCTGCACACCCAGAAGGGTGAATGAAGTTCAATGAATACATGCCTTTCCCAACCTCACCTCCTGCCAACTCCCTGCCATAATTCTGGCCTTTCCCATACTGTCCAGGGAAGTCTGGGGAGGGAGGACAGAGGCCTGGTTTCTGTTGGACTCAGACTTCCCACCTCTGTCCAGTCCACCTTTTCTCTCCAAGGCCTCAGAAAGGCAGACCCAGTTTCCAGGCCCAACTCTGCTCCTAGATGCATTTGGGGGCCTCAGGTTTTCCACTGGAGAATGGACTGAGGACACCCAAAAGTTCAATATGATGCCCTATGCTTCATGCTTGGGACCATGCAGAGGAAGGCACGGGGTGCTAAGGCCATGGAAAAGGAAATTGGTGGCTCTTTGTGGGCTGGAACTGAAGCTGCATATCCCCTGGGACAGCTGGACCCCTCTGCTTTGCTACTTCCCATTCAGCTGACCAGGGAAAACAACCTCAAAGGGCTCAGGAGAAGCTTGGTAGGAAGGAGTATGTGCCAGGCCACCTCCCCAGCCTCTGGAAGGGAGTGTGCTCTGAACAGCCTGGGGCCCAGATCCTGTGCAGGATGTGGAAAGACAGGCCACATGATCCAGGCCTGGAGGGGCCGAGGGGCCTGATCTTTGCTTCCTTGAATGACACCTGTTAGACAGACAGAGCCAGGCTGTTCTCTCCCTCTGTCCCCCAGCTCTGCACCCCTGCCTGCTATCTGTAGCTGCCTTCTCTAGGTGTTCAGCACCTATTTTTTTTTCCCTCCCAGTTCTAGGGATTGAACCCAGGGGTGTTCTACCACTGAGCTATGTCCCCAATCCTTTTTTTTTTTTTAATTAAAGATGTTTTTAACATTCTTTATTTATTTTATTTATTTTTATGTGGTGCTACTGCTGAGCCATAACCCCAGTCCCTCCAATCCTTTTTTTTTTTTTAAAGAGAGAGAGAGAGAATTTTAATTTTTTTTTTTTTTTTTAGTTTTTCGGTGGACACAACATCTTTGTTTGTATGTGGTGCTGAGGATCGAACCCGGGCCGCACGCATACCGCTTGAGCCACATCCCCAGCCCCTCCAATCCTTTTTATTTGGGACAGAGTCTAAGTAGCCCAGGCTGGTCTCAAACTTGATGGTTCTCCTGTCTCAGCCTCTTGAGTTGCTGTTGTTATAGGCATGTGCCACCTGCCAGGCTCAGTCACTTTCTTGGTGTTTCTTCAATCAGACTTCTCTGGCCCCTCTCCCCTGCCCACTTAGTCTTTGATGTTGCTGAGCTCCAGGGGAGGTGTTTTGATTTTCTTCCTCCTGCTGGGATGTTCTGAGATACTTAATACTTGACCATCTCCTCCCTGCTTCCCCCTGGCCACCTGGCRCAGGGAAAGAACATGGAAAGAGGGTAGGATGGGGGACAGGGGTGTCAGAAGATCTTGGATATATCATTGCATTCCTAACCCTAGAAAGCGGTTAGAGGAGGGGAGGGAGTGGGCTTGTAACACCTGTTTCTTGAGTTTTCAGTTTCCTCTCCCTCTCCTCTTCAGGGAATATCTTGCTAAGACAACTCATTCTTTTTTTTTTATTCATTTATTTATATGTGGCACCAAGAATTGAACCCAGTGCTTCACACATGTATGGCAAGCACTCTACCACTGAGCCATAACCCCGGCCCTGACAAGTCAATTCTTCTTTCAAGTCATCTCATGTGTGTCCACCATCCAGTCCTCTCCCTGCTGTCCCAGCCCTCCTTGGCCCATTTCTTTTCCCTGAGTATTCTGTAAACCAGGCTACTTCCTCTTCCAAAATGAAACCCCATACCCATTAAGCAATGCCTCCTCACTTCTCCCTCCCACAGCTTCTGGCTCTAATCTGCTTTCTGAGTGGACTTACCTAGTTCATGTAAGTAGAATCATACCACACTTGGCATTTTGTATCTGGTGTCTTTCACTTAGCATAATATTTTGGAAATCCATCCATGTTGTAGCATGAATCAGCATTCCATTTCTTTTCATGGTTGAATAATATTCCATTGTATGGATAGAACACATTTTGCTATCCTCATCAGCCTGACAACTCAGGATGTTCCACCTTTTGGCTATTGTGCACAGTTCTGTTATGAAAACCAGAGTATGAGTACCTGCTTTCAATTCTTTGGGGCATATACTTAGGAATGGAATTGCTGGGGCACATGGTAACTCCGTGTTTAACTTTTTGAGGATGATATGGTGTTTCAACTCTTGAATCTGAATGCCTTTGGGTATCCATCTCTGTCTCTGTTTCCACCTATTTTTGTCGTCTTTCACCCAGCCCGGTTGGACTCATTTACATTATATGGCCCCTGAAGGCATCTGAATTTGCTATCCCTACATTAAAACAAAGCCCAACCCACCCACCCCCAGTGCCCAAATCAGCTGCTGAGAACTAGCTGAAGGCGCCGAGCAAATCTCTTTACCTTTCAGAGTACTATTTTGGCTCAGCCTCAAAAAATGAAAATAGTGCTTACCTGATAGGAGGCGGCAAGGATCAGAGAGGTGATGGACCCAACGAGCCTCTTCCGAAGCTGTTTAGTTCTGGCAAGAGAGAGAAAGGCGGGTGAGGACAGGAGGAACTGGAGGAGGAGGAGCGGGCGAGCTGGCCAGGAGACTTCTGGGGCCTCGGTGGTGTTTGAGGCTTCGAACCCACCCGGGTCCGAGCCGGCGCGCCCAGAGGTGGCTGGCGAGCGGTGCACAGCAGCTAAGGGACCCTAGGCCCCAGCAGATCAGTACTGGTCTGTGCGCCCCGACTTGGGGCGGGGCTCAGGTTGGATTACCGGTGGGCGGGCGCTGTCCCCCCGTCCCCGCCCCCCACATCCGGGGGCCGGGGCCGGGGCCGGGGCCGGGCTCAGGGCTTGCCGCGCGCCGGTGAGTCAGGCCGGGTTTTCCCTCCTCCTCCAGGGCAGGCGAGAGAGTGCCGCCGATCGCGTCCCTTCCTCGCCAATCCGGCTCCGGCGCCTGTCCTCCCGCCCGCCGCCCGCGTTTTCTAGGTGCCTGCCTCACGGCCGCTCCGGCCCGGCTCGCAGTCTCTGCTGGAATCSGCGCTTCGGAGGAGGGTTCAAATCCGCCCAAAGGAACAGCGGCGCACCCGGGCGCGGAGCGGCGGGCGGCGAGCGCTGCGCCAGCATGGTAAGTGGGGCGCGCTAGGGGCCGGAGGATGGACGCGCGGGGCAGGGAGAGTCGCCGAGTTCTCGCTTTTCGGGTGTCCTTGGCCACATTGCAACCCCTAGCTGGCGGAAGCTCCCGTCTGAAAAATGGGCGGGGATGGCAGCGTGCGGTGTGCGCCCAGGTGTCTTCAGCTCCTGGGCGCCGGGTTGCGCTGGAGAGGCAGGCGGCAGGTTACGCTCCTCTTTGCAACCCCGGTAAACGCGCTTTTCTTGGAACATCGCCCAGGACCCCTGCGCCACCGCTGGGTGGGGCAGGCGCCCTTGGCGAAGAAGTCTGACCTCGGCCTCCGCCCCCTTGCCCAGCGACTCGCGTCAGGCCCCAAGAAGCAGGAGGACAGAGGAGCGTCCCCCTACCTCACCTCCTAGGTAGCTCGAGGACTTCCAGTGGTTCTGGGGATTCCTTTCCTTCCCCACTGCCTTCCCGGGGACAGTTCTGTGGGGGATGTCAACCTCCTCTTCTCCGCCTTCCCCTCTCACCCGCCCCGCCCCCAGTATGTCTCCTTTCTCCCCCTAGTCCCTTGCCCGGTCCCGGCGACAGCTGCAGACTTGAGGATAGGGAACATTCCTGGGTCTTGGCGATTTGGACACTGTACCATTCCGGACCAGAGCCTTTGATCAAAGCGAGGGCCAGTCTAGGACCAGGTGGAAATTAGGGCTCTAAATATATCCGGAAGGAGAACTGAGACACCCTTACCCCCAGCCCATAGGAAGAGATTGGGCCTGGCCGTCCTGGGGCAGGAGCAGAGGCAGGAGACCATTCTGAGCTCTGTGAGCACCCTCTTTCCAGTGCCCTCCCAGGCAGGACTCCTTTGCCTACTGGCTGCGTGTGGGTGTGTTAAGTGCGAGACTGAATGAATGCCGCCAGCCGGCTCCCGCCACCGCCTCTAGCAGCTTCCAGAGCTTAGAGTCCTCATGCCAGCCACACTTCCACTATTTCTTCCTGACCCTCAGGGCCAGGCAGGAGGGATCCCAGGCCAAAGGGATTTCCATCCAAACTAGCCTGATGGCAGATGCCCTTGGGAGAAACAGGCGGGGGTAGGGGGGGAGGGGGCTGGGCAGTCTACATAATACAGCAATGTCCATAGAAGGTGACCCCTGGCTGAGACAGCCTGATGCAGTACAGAAGGCTTTGCCCAGAGAGTTGAGATTGCCTCTCACTGTGGGATTTGGGGCAATTAATTTCCTCTTTCTAGGCTGTAAAGTCCAGATAGGGTCATCACTGCCCTGCCTGCCTCCACTAGCTGTTGTGAAGATGACATGAGATAACAAAGTGGAAGGGCTGAAAAAAACTGTAGTGTGCTGTGCACCTGTGAATGACTGCACAGGTTAGTTGCTTGCAGAGGTCAGCTGCCAGGCTGCGCCTCTTCAAGTGTCTCATGGGGATTGAGTATGCCAGCCTCTCCCATTCCCTCTCCAGGCCCCATCACACACTGCCCTCTCTTTTGGAGCTGGGACATTCCAGTCTCATTCCTTTGGGGCAGCTGCAGACACACCCCTCAGCCTGGCTGATCCTGCAGCAGGTGGTGGGACCCTCCCCTGGGGCTAGGGCTCTGGAAGGCCTAACCCAAGCCAAAGCTGGCAGGACTCACCCATATGGGGGTTGGGATGTGCTGGAGTCAGAGAATCTGGGAAGCCTGTGCACTTTCTCCTATGCAGCTGATCATGACCTTGGACACATTATTTCCCTTTCTGGGCCTCAGTTTCCTCTTCCGAAGTGAGGGATGTCAGTACTCCCCTCCTATGTGCATTTCGAAGAAGGGCTAGTCCTCGGGGTCTGGAGCTGGAATGTCCCACTGCATGTCCTCTCTTCCTTTGCTTGGTGGCCAGGGCAGCACTGTTCTACCAAGGGTTGGTTCAAAAGAGCTGTGCCTCTATGTTCAGGGCTGTCCATGCCATCTGCTAATCTTGGGGGTAAAGTGGGAGGGGAACAGGAGTGAAAAGTCCCTTCTGGAGCCATCTGGGGCCTGTGAAAGATGTCCCTCTAATGACCTAGCCTAAACCCAGCCAGTTGGATGGTGGTGGATTTTTAGCTCTGTGCAGAGATCTGGGCAGGCACAGAAGCCCAGGCACTTCTGCTCTCTTGTCTTTCTGTGCCTAAGTCCCAGGGAGACTGCATGGTACTTGCTGTCTCTCCCGCCCTCCTCCTTAACCAAATCCTCTCCAGCTCCGCCTCACAGCCCTGACCTGAGCAGACATTCCCCCGGGCTTCCAAGCAACGCAAGGGAGGAATGTCTGTGTGTTTGGGGGAGGGTGTGGAGGTGGGATGGATCCTTTAGGAAAAGCGATTGTCCCTAGATTGAGACCTAGGCAGAATGAAGCCTTCTTGAAGCAAGGGATTCAACCCTGCTGTGGAAGCTGAGGATATAGCTAGAGATGTTACCCAGGAGGGGTGGACAGTGGAGGGTGGGGGCTTAAGGAAAGACAAAGGGAAGGGCACTCTTTGTGCCCTTCAATCTCTGTACTGCTTCTAATAGCTGGCCTCACACTCCCCATTCAGCATCAGCACACCAACATGTGCATACACATTCCTAGCCAGGTGCGGGGAGGATCCCTCAGTCTTCATGCTGGGGTGTTCCTCTGTTATGTCTGTGTCCTTGAAGGTGCTCAGTGCTATGTGGTGACCTTGTGCATGATACTATGGCTGTCCTGTGTCCTGTACCATAGGTTTCTCCATGCTGAGTGGGGACATTGTGTTCCCTGTTGTGTTCATAGGCATTGTTATGGTCCACGGCTACAGCTGCTCCTCTGGACCTGAGACCCTTGCTGGGACACTTAGTGTCAGCGTGTCAGTTATTTATCCCTGAGGACAGAAGTGAGCATTGCCAGGGGAAGGCTTGGTGGTATGGGTTTGGGGTGAGGTGGGCGTATTTGGCTTCACTGCCAATATCCCAATCCCCTAGTCACATAGGACTTAACAATTTGTTCACAAGATCCTTTCACTTCCATTTGACATTGACTGCCATGCTAACCCTAGTAGGAAGGCAGGGCAAGATGTGGAAACTGAGGCATGTCAAAGGGAGATGTATTAGTGCTTAGGGTCCCACAGAGAGAGAAAAGGAGGGGCAGCTGGAGATCAGCTTCTTTGCTGTCCTCTCTCTGAGAAGGAGTGACAGATCAGTGCACCTTTAAATAGAGTACTGTCTTCCTGGGCAGAGGTATTGTAGCAAGGGGCTGTCAGATGGGGAGGCAAGATGACTCACTTTCAGTTCTTTTGGCTGTGGGTGACATTCTGGGTCCCTAGTAGACATTAGGTAGTCATGGAGTTGGAATCTCAGGCATCCTCACCCCAGTAGCTCTGTGACCTTGGACAAGTCATTTCACTTTACTGAGCTCCAGGGACCCTACCTTTAGAAAAGGACATTAACTATGTCACAGGAAGTGCCTTATCACTGAAGGAGCCCAGCACCTGTGATTCCTTAGCTAGATGAATCTCCTGGGGCTGGGGTGTACTGACTCAGTCTTGTCCCCCACCTCAGGGCTGGGGTCTGGGAAAAGAAGACTGAGAAGATTATTTTTGCCCAGGGTGTGGTTGAGAGCTGTAGAGTGGGGGTAGGGGACAGGGCCCGCCCTCCTTCTCCCTCTCAGAGAGCTTTGTCTTCCACAAACACAAAACCTGGAAATGGTTAAGGAAGATGGAGCCTCCTAAGGACCATTGTTTTGGGGTAGGAGTGGGTGTCCCGGAAGTATATTGGATGGGTGGTGGGGGACTTTCAGCTGCAGCCTGCCTGCTGGGCATCTGTTCTGGAATGGGAGAAGGGACAATAGGGTAGGAGGCAGAAAAGGAGGCACTCACACAAGTCATTTGTGTCTGCGTTAGGGTGGGCATTGGGCTGAGCACATGTTCCATTGGGAACCCTAGGTACCCACCCATTTCACCCTCCAGTGTATCAGGCCCAGCACAGGTGGGAATAAGCCTGGTCACTTGGCAGTGTTTGTGTGTGACTAAGCTCTGCTTCAGCCAGCCTGTGTTGACCCTGGCTGCGGGCCAGGCCCTGGACAGGGTGCTTTGTCATGTTATCTCACCCTATCCTTCCAGCATCCCTCTGTGATAAGAGCTATCATTGCCATTGTACACATGCATGAAACCAAGGCTTATAGAGGTTAGGGGCATGGCCAAGGTCACACACCAGTTGGTTCTGCTCTGGGTCAGGATATGGAACCTGTTTGGCCTTGTGGTGGGCTTTGGTGTAATAGCAGCAGCACACAAGGCATAGCAGGGGTCCAGCCGCCCCTTCCCTCTGCCTCTCACCACTGCCCAGACCTGAACACCTGTTCCGGAAAACTCAACCATTGTTCCTCCCTTAGGCCCTTCCTGTTTGTATCGTCATCCTTCCTCCCTGTGGGCCCTTCCTGTTTGTATCCCTCCCACTGTAGCCCCCAACCCCACCCATGCCAGATGTTTCCCTGAGGGAGCTCTGACCCTTTACTGGAAGAGAGGCTGGACAGGTTATCTCAAGGGAAGGAGAAGAAATAAAGAGTCCATCTGGGGCTGGGAGTGGTGGTGCATGCCTGTAATCCCAGCAGTTTGTAAAGCTGAGACAGGAGGATTGCGGGTTCAAAGCCAGCCTCAGCAAAAGCAAGGTGCCAGGCAACTCAGTGAGACCCTGTTTCTAAATAAAATACAAAATAGGGCTGGGGATGTAGCTCATTGGTTGAGTGCTCCTGAGTTCAATCCCCAGTAGCTCCCCCTGCCACCGCCCCCCCCCCAAAAAAAAAAAGAGTTCATCTGGGAATTGGAAGGAATATAGAGTCCTTCTGGACTGGTTCGCTATGCTTCCTCCCCATTCAACAAATTTGGTCGGGACCTTGGCAGAAGAGTTAGCAAGGTCAGGGTCAGACAGCCTGAGTCCATCCTCTATTAGCTCTTTGCTGGCCTGGTCTCGAGAGGTGGGCCCTTGTCCTACTGCTTGAGGTCTTCCTCCCACCATACCCACTTATCATGCTTCCACATTGCACACAGGACGCTACTGGAGCTGTCCCTTTGGTGTTCCAACTGAATGTTAGATGAGCAGGAGGCTTTGGGACCTGAATCCCTTTCTCTTGCCAGTTTGGGAGTCATGTCCTGACATTGTCTCTGATTCCTACCCACATCTGCCTCTCTTGGGCCTGGGCAGGTAGAAGAGCTGGCAGATGACAAGTGCCTGGTTTTAGGGAATCTGGGGATTTGGGCAGTGAGTGCTCACCTGCTCCTAATGGAACCTCCTGTTTCCCCGAAGCAGCTGCCTGTGCCCTGTTGAAACTTCATGGCCACAGCCCCAGGCCCTGCTGGCATTGCCATGGGCAGCGTGGGCAGCCTGTTGGAACGTCAGGACTTCTCCCCTGAAGAGCTTCGGGCAGCACTTGCTGGGTCTCGAGGCTCCCGCCAACCTGATGGACTCCTCCGGAAAGGTTTGGGCCAGCGTGAGCTCCTTAGCTATCTGCACCTCCCCAAGAAGGATGGCAAGACCACCAAGCGGGCACCTCGGAATGAGCCTGCTGACTATGCTACCCTCTACTACCGGGAACATCCTCGGGCTGGTGACTTTAGCAAGACTTCACTGCCTGAGCGGGGTCGCTTTGACAAGGTGTGTCTCTGCTGATGTCCTTTATGTGGCACAGGGAAGTTGGAGATGGGCAGCTTGGGGCCTCCTTGGAGACCCAGTTGCTAGGATGGGATGAAGATTGGATGGGCTAAGATGTGGAAAGCCTGCCGTAGACTGGCTTGAGCCTTGGTTAATTCCTCCTGGTGGCATGTGCCCCATGTTCTCACAGAGGATTCCCAGGGGCTGCAGGAGCATCAGGAGGGTAGAGCAGAGTTTACCATACTCACAGACCTCCCTCACACCTGCCCTCTCTTTTTGGCAGTGCCGCATCCGCCCATCAGTGTTCAAGCCTACAGCAGGTACCGGGAAAGGCTTCCTCTCCATGCAGAGCCTGGCTGCCCACAAGGGTCAGAAGCTGTGGCGCAGCAATGGTAGTCTGCACACGCTGGCCTGCCACCCACCCCTGAGTCCAGGGCCCAGGGCCAGCCAGGCTCGTGCACAACTGTTGCATGCCCTCAGCCTGGATGAGGGTGGCCCTGAGCCTGAGCCCAGCTTGTCTGATTCCTCCAGTGGGGGCAGTTTTGGCCGCAGTCCTGGCACAGGTCCCAGCCCCTTCAGCTCCTCCCTAGGCCACATTAACCACCTTGGAGGCTCCCTGGACCGGGCCTCAAGGAGCCCCAAGGAGGCTGGGCCATTGGCTGTGCTGAGCTGCCTGCCTGAGCCACCGCCCCCCTACGAATTCTCCTGCTCCACTGCAGAGGAGGTGGTAGCCCTGCTGCCTGAGACCTGTGAGGATCTCAAGAGGGACCTTGGAGACCAGGATGGCTCCAACCCCTTCACACAGGTAAGTGAGCCCCATCCTAGGGTCCTATTCTGTCCCTTGGCATTGGTGTATGAGCCAGACTGAGGGACCCCAGATGGTTCACCCACATGTCTCTGGGAAACACTGGGTATGGTAGCATACACCTGTAGTCCCAGGTATTTGGGGGGATGAGGCAGGAGAATCTTGAGTTCAGGGCCAGCCTGCGTGGCCAAAACAGTAAGACCCTGTCTCAAAAAAAGAGGGAGTGGAGATGTCTTGGCTTCTGTCTTCTAATAACTGCCCAAGGAGTTATTGGTGGAGGAAGTGTTAGGGTGGTGGTGAGCTATGGGAGCACAGGTGGATTGCATCCAAGGGGCGGAGCCTTGTGGAAATCTAGGCATGGTTGGTCAACCCTACTGTGAACCTCTTTCCCGCAACAGGTGCTAGAGGAGCGCCAGCGGTTGTGGTTATCTGAGTTGAAGCGCTTGTACGTGGAGCGGCTGCATGAGGTGGCTCAGAAAGCTGAGCGCAGCGAGCGCAACCTCCAGCTGCAGTTGTTCATGGCTCAGCAGGAACAGCGACGGCTGCGCAAGGAGCTCCGGGCTCAACAGGGCCTGACCTCTGAGCCTCGTCCCCCAGGTCCAGTTCCAGAGGCCGACTCCAGCAGCCGGCCAGAGGAGGAAGCCCGATGGGAGGTGAGAGACCGCCAGGGACTCAGAAACACCCATCCCCACTGGCCTGGTCCCATTCTCCATTTCCCCTCCCTCAACCAGCTCCCCACACCTTGGAGCATCTGGGTCTTCAAGGAGGCCCCAAGCTGCTTTGCTTGGCCCTTGTTCATCCTGTGTCCCCCCATCTCCCAGGTGTGCCAGAAGACCGCAGAGATTAGTCTCTTGAAGCAGCAACTGCGGGAAGCCCAGGCAGAGCTGGCACAGAAACTGGCTGAGATATTTAGTCTGAAGACGCAACTTCGGGGCTTCCGGGCACAAGCCCAGGCTCAGGACGCAGAGCTGGCCAGGTTGCGTGAGACTGTGCGCAGCTTACAGGAACAGGCTCCTCGGGAGGAAGCCCCAGGCAGCTGTGAAACTGATGACTGCAAGAGCAGAGGGCTGCTGGGGGAGGCTGGAGGTAGTGAGGCTGGAGGTGGTGCTGAACAGCTGCGCGCAGAGCTACTGCAAGAACGGCTCCGGGGCCAGGAGCAGGCACTGCGTTTTGAGCAGGAACGGAGGACTTGGCAGGAAGAGAAGGAGCGGGTGCTGCGCTACCAGCGGGAGATCCAGGGGGGCTACATGGACATGTACCGTCGCAATCAGGCACTGGAGCAGGAGCTACGGGCACTACGGGAGCCCCCCACGCCCTGGAGTCCTCGACTTGAGTCCTCCAAGATCTGAGGCCAGCAGAGCAAGCTGACAGCAGATGCACTGTCCAAGATGCCCTGAGACACCTGACCCCTCCCTTTCACTGGTCTGGGGCAGAATGTGCAGAGGCCAACCCAGGGATGGGAGGCCCCCAAGAGGAAGGATCCAGGGGGGGCGATGGGCAGGATAAGGTGCTGGCTACAGAGCCAGGGCTAGACCCTTCTGGCAGAGAAGCACCCAGGCAGGGCCCAGCCCTGCTCCCTGGAGTGGGTGTGGCCCAATGAAGGAGGTTAGAGAATCCAGAGGCACTGACAGGGAAGGGCAGGTGTAAGGGAGGGTGGCTAGAGAGCTGGGCTGAGGCCTTCCTTAATGAAAGGAGGCTGGGATGGAAACATTGGCCTCCTCCAGAATAAAACCACCTTTTCTTTGAGGAGGCCCTGGGTGATATATTGAGCCTGCCCTTACCAGAGTCCAGTTTTGTGGATAGTCAGGGTTGGGAGTTGACCTGGCCTGTAGCTCCTTTCATGGTCATGGTCATTGGGAGGTGTGCCCTGTGCCTGTCTGTGAAGCTGCTGATCGTATGTGTTGGAGAGTGGAGGCATCCTATTTCCTTGCTCCAGTACCACACAGTTCCTTAGCTGCTGTGTGGGCTGAAATTCCTTTCTTCAGCACCAGTGGATTTTTCAGAAGGAACAATACTAGGGAACTACAAAAAAACAAAAGGGCGAGTCAAAAGGCATTTCAAGGATATGAAATGTTCCTTTTGGTGAAAAGTCTGGGCCCTGGTTGCCCAGGCCTCTGCTGGATTGGGGCCAGCCTAAGACAGCATCCTGTGGGGGCATCCAAAAGCTCCTGTGAGCTCTACCTCTTCTGGAGCCCACCTCCTATCTTTCTGTCCAGCTGTGGTGTGCCTCTCTCTTCATGGGCAGGTGAGGGGGAGGTTTAGGAAGGTGCAGAGAAGCTTGGCAGGGAAAGCTTGTGGGTTATTTGGTAAAGGATCTTACCGGAAGGAATGGAACATTTCCCCATAAGCAATGGAAGGCTATTGGGTATTTTTAGGTAGGAGTGAGATTTGATCTAATTTGTATTCTGGAAAGTTCTTTCTTGAAGAAGCATCCCCACACTTCCCACCTCTGTTCTTTACCTGGCCTTGGAACTGTCAGTCCTCTTGCACTCCTGCTGATGGTCTCAGGTTCTCGAAAACCCACAGCTACCCCAGTCCCTCAGCAGTCTTGGGACTTTGCTCCCCTCCAGGTGGTGACCTGGTGCAAGTGGAGTCTTCCCTATCTTTTGAGAGAAGCTCAGCTTATTACACATGTATCATTGGAGTGGCTACCATGCATCTAGTGCTTACTGTTTCTCTGGTTGGACCCTTGAGCTTGGGGCCACAGGGTGAATTTGATGTGCTTCCTGCTTAAGGGTAGCTAGCACACAGTCATCTGCCCTCCAATCCTTGTTCATGTAGGGCCATTCAGGGAACCTCTTAGAAGTACTCCATGTAGCCAGACATGGTGGTGTACACCTCTAATCCCGGCGGCTCAGAAGGGTAAGGCAAGAGGATCACAAGTTCAAAGCCAACTGTAGCAACTTGGTGAGGCCCTAAGCTGTCTCAAAAAATAAAAGGGCTGGGGATGTGGCTCAGTGATTAAGCACACTTGGGTTCAAATCACAGTACTCCTCCTGCCCCCAAATAAAAAGTACTTCATGTAGAAACCCAGGCTGCTCCCTTTGGCTGACCCTTGGTCTTCCCAGGCTATTCCTGACATGCCCCCCCATCAAGCCCAGTAGGTGGATCCTGGTTGTAGAGTTTGCTGGAGTGTGGACTAYATCCCAGCCTCCTTGGAAATTGTGGCACATGAGTTGATGGACCCCGCCTCTTTTGGGGCCATGAGTGTAGTGTGTGACTTGTCTGGGGGTGCTGTTTATGGCCCTGTGAATGGCAGATGTGTTTGTGGGTGGTGGGTGTGCCCAAGGAGGTGTGTTTGGGGCACCTGGCTTCCAAAAGCCAGCTCCTGAATTGGAGGCTGGGAAAGCTGCTTCCTGGCTCTCTGCCAGGAATCAGCTCCACTGGCCAGGCCTGGGTCAATCCTGTGTCCAGGACGGAGCCCTGAGCCTAACTAAGACCCATTTAGGTCCACTCCTGAGCTCAGGTCTAATGCCTGAGGAGGGAAAGGTGAAGTATCTGGGTTAGGCAGGCCAGTCCCCACAGATCTTAGGGTATTCCTATTTCATAGGCCCCTCTAAATCCAGATCTCTGGGCCAATGGACCCCTGGAGGTTTTCCCACTTCCTAGACCTGCATGTTGGCTTGAAGCCTAGATTACTTCCTCCCTGTGACCAGGAGCTGGTTAGGCTGGGTGCCCACGTGTCCCAGAGTGGCTGGGGCCCACCTTTTGGTATACCAGCTCTGCAGAACAGCTCTCCACCCAGTAATTAGGGAGCTGGGCCGGCCAGTACAGCCAGCGGGGAGTGGGTGGGCGGTACCAAAACTTGGCAGCAGTGCCAGAAACCAAGGCCAGGCCCAGAAGAAGGGGGAGGGTGCCGGAGAGCTAAAGCTGGGGTGTCTCAAAACCAGATACCGGTTAGTTCGTCCGTGCTGGGCAAACCAGTTCCCTGGTTCCCAGGCAGGCTGAGTGGCTCTGGGGCCAGCTGATCACAAGTGTCACTGTCACTATCATTGTCACTGTTGTGGCTACTGCTTTGGGGAAGCCCCTCCCTTCTACTTCTGGCTGGGCCTTGAGCTGCTCTCAGGCTCAGCTTTCCCCTGGAATCCCCATCCCCAGCAGATCTGACCCAAGCAGCCAGATCTGCACTGTGCTCTCTGCCTCTGATCCTCACTTAAGTATTACACTTTCTAGCAGCTCTCTGGGCCCCTAACCCCTCACGGAAGGTCTCTGACTCTRGTCTCCAGGATCACTGATAGCAATGCCCCTTCCAACCTCAGTGAACTCCACAGTTTGACTTAGCCCTCTGGACATTCTACCTCATTCTGCAGGTGATCCTGGACTGAAAGACTTGCAAGGAGGGACAGACACAGGGAGGGGACGCAGGGCACCATTTTGGAGCTACCTGGAGGGTGGAAGAAAGAAGTGAGGGTTTAAATAAGTCCTGGACCTGGCCAGGGAGGCAGAGAATCAGCTGTCTTCCTAGGCTGCCTCCTGGTGTCCATCATTGCACACAGAAGGCAGGAAGTGCTCAGGTCTTGCTTTCTCAAGGAAGTCCTTCCTGGACTACCCACCTCCTCTGCAGTGCTTACACGTCCATATGTCTCTCCATCAGCTCTTTGCAAGCTGCTTGATTTCTTGGTTTTTCTCTGTCTCCAATGAGCTGAGGGTATTGCCAGAGCAGATCAGTGTCTTCCATTCCCCCTGCCAAGCCCTCTCTGGTTCCAGCCCCAAAAGGTACTTGGAGAGATGTAGAAGCAGGGTGACCAGAGCCCTCCCCTGAGTAGGAAGGCTTTGAGGTGAGAGAGTGGGGAAGATAGGGAAGGCTCTAACTCTGAGCTAATTGTGGATACCTGTTCTGTGCCAAGTCTATGTCAAGCATGGAGTTCCAGAGCTAGTTACTATTCATTCTATAGGGGTGTTTGAGGGCCTCCCTCTGGGCCAGATGTCATTCTCAGGTGAGTAAGCCATACTAACAAAGTTCCCTGCCCTTTTGACATTTGTGTGTAGAGGAGGGAGACAGTGTGTGTCCATACTGTTGAAGGTTGTTCCAGATAGTGACCAGGTCCAGACAGGAGATGAAGAAGACAGAGGAGAATTCAAAAGAGCTCAGATACACTGACACAGGACAACAGAGGCCTCCATGTCATCAAACAAGTGAGCCAAACATGGAAAAAGGGAGCATGAAAATACATTTCTCTGAGACTGGAGGGATGTAGATTTTAGGGAACCTTTCTGCAAAGAGGGTGCAGGCCTCTGTAGGCAATGACATAGGATGTATGGAAGTTTGGGGCAGGTTCCAGAGAGGGTCTTGTGTGGAATTTTAGGAGGGGAACAAGGAGAATGGGAAGCAAAGCAAATCCTGGTCAGTCTGGTAAGCTGGTGCAGGATTCCCTGAGCAGTCAAAGGAAAGGGCTAAAACCAGGACCAGTTTTCTGTGTGTAAGACCTGTGCAGCACCCAGGGCCCCTACACTTGGTGTTATGCTCTGCTGTTGCCATCTTGAACTTCTTAAGAATGTTTGAACAAAAGGCCTCACATTTTCATTTTGCTCTGTGTCCTGCAAACTAGGTAGGTGGTTCTCTCTTGAATTTAGGACTTGCAAGGAGGGACAGATCAGGGAGAGAAGACAAGGCACTGTTTTGGAGCCACCTGGAGGGTGGAAGAAAGAGGTGAGGACTTAGGTGGGTCTTGAGGCTGGCTGGGGAGGCCAGAAAGGCAGCTATGGCTCCCCTTGGTTGGGCTTGTTTTTTCCTGGTTTTCATAGTGGAACCAAAGGCAGTGGCTGCATCGCCCACCACTGCCCCACCTCCACCAGCCATAGGAGATCCGTTTTTTTCTATCTCTGCCTTCTAGAACTAAGTGCAAAGAAAGGCTGCATTTCCAAGTGTGCATGTTCCACACCCCTCTATACTCCCCCTCCTGTGCTGGGGAATGAACCCAGGGCCTCACACATGCTAGGCAAGTACTTTGCCACTGAGTTACACCCCCAACCTACTAAGGTATAATTTGCACACAGGAAAATTCTTCCTTTTTAAGGTACAGTTTGGAGAGTTTTGACAAATGCAGAGTTGTATAAACAACCATATAATCAAAACATAGAATTATTACATCACCCCTCAAAATTCTCTTTTCTCCTCCTTTGTGGTCAATTTCTCCCCTACCTCCAGCCCCTGGTAACTACTGAACTGCTTTGTCAATAACTTTTTTTTTTCCTTTTTGTGAGAGATGCTTAAGCCCACCTATCTAATATATGGTATCAGAACAAAGTAGCAAGAAAAACAATAGAATATTGGTATAAAAATAAATAGGATGAGGAACCAGAAATAGATTCCATTTTGTAGAAAAAAATATGATAAAGAGATTGCAAAGGAGAGAGTAAGGAAGGAATATTTAATAGGGAGCCCTGGGTTAACTACAAAATTGTGCGTGGGGATCATACTTCGCAGCATCCTTTTGAGATAAAATGGACATTGGGTTATTATTTTATGAGTTAAATTTTAAAAATCAAATCCTAGGAAATTGGCAGAAAGCTCAACAAACTATTGCTGAATAATGGAGAGGAGCTAATGAAGCAACTTGTTTGGAAGCAACCCCATCCCCTCAACAAAAACCAAATATATACAACCCCAATGAGGAAAGAATGATAAAATCAACTTTGCAGTAAAAGTTGGTGCACAGTGAAATTAACAAGTCTGAACACAAGGAAAATCACATATTGGGGAAGACAAGACAGCCAAGGTTAAACCGCCTGATGTGAGCGGTGTTTTCAAGGTTCTTCCCAACTTTGCCCACACCCCGCTCTGTAGGGAAGGCGGCCAGGGCTCCAGAGAGGAAGTAGGGAAGCCCAGGGGCGGTCTCCAAAGCCTGTGAGGTCCTGTCAGCTCTTGCTCAGCTTAGAGGCCGCCTGGCCTCCTTGGCCCCAAGCACGGCCCCCGCCGCTTCCGCGTGTGGGGCCAGGACCACCCAGGATCCGAGTGAGTGCACCGCCAGGCACCTCCAAGATGCTCCATCTGACGACCCCCGTGGGCATAGGGTCCCTCTCTGAACTGACTGGCTCCTCACCTGCCTGCTTCCGAAGGTTTTTGAGCCAGGGTTTCTTTTTTCTTTTTCTTTTTTTTTAATATTATTATTTTTTTTTTAAAGAGAGAGAGAATTTTTTTAATATTTATTTTTTAGTTTTCGGCGGACACAACACGCATGCCAGGCGAGCTCGCTACCACTTGAGTCACATCCCCAGCCCAAGGGTTTCTTCTTTCATATGAGAATATCCGCTTCCTCCCAGCATCTTTATGCACCTACTGGTTTCTAGCAATGATGAACACAAAGTCCAGGTCCCAATGGAGCTTTTAATCTTAAAATGTAGGGGAGGCAGGGTTAAGGGCCGGAAGATAGATCAACAAGTAAACATAATTTCAAGTGAAGGTTGTAAAGAAAACAAAGCCAGATTGTGCAAGTGATGTGCTTTATTAAGAAAACAAAACAAAACAAGATTGTGCAAGGGGTGGGGGCAGGGGGGAAGAGGAGGTGTGAAGGGTTGCAGCCCGAATGACCTGGAGTGAAATCAACCATAAAAGGGAGCAGTAAATCAGGGAAACAGAGATTGAAACTTTATTGTGGGGCTGTTTTTTGTTGAAGTCTTTGAGGTCTGACAAGAGGGTGGGAGTTCTCTAGCCCTTCCCTTCAGAAGAAGAGGGCCTGCCTGGTAAATTCAGTTCTGGCCTGGGTTTGGAGTCACCATCTTCTTTTTCTTTTCAGATACACCCTTCCTGCTTAGGACAGATGTGTAATCCTTACCCTAAGAAGGGCAACCCATGGAGGGCAGGAGGGCACATGCTGTGCCATCTTTCCTGTCCGCATAATTCCATTCTCAAATTGACTATCCTGTGGGCAGATTAAGTATGGGTTTAGGGTCTAGGAGTACAGCAGTTACTCAGAAGGCTGAAAAAGGAGGATGGAAAGTCAGAGGCCAGCCTGGACTACTCAGCAGACCCTCTCTCAAAATAAAAAATAGAAGCCTGGTATGGTAGTGCCTGTCTGTAATCCCAGCAACTCAGGAGTCTGAGGCAGGAGGATTGCTAGTTCCTGGCCAATCTCAGCAATTTAGGCCTAAGCTAAGGGGGATGTAGCTCTGTGGTAGGGTGCCCCTGGGTTCAGATTCCACTACCAAAACAAAACAAAAACAAAACAACAAACCAGCAAGGACTTTTCTTTTAAACATTACTTGTTATTACAAAAAAAAAAAAGCACGACGAAAAAAGCCTGACTTCTGAATCCCTTACATACATAGTGCTGTTTAGAGATATTTTTTTTTTTAAAGAGAGAGTGAGAGAGGAGAGAGAGTGAAAGAGAGAATTTTTTTTTTAATATTTATTTTTTAGTTCTCGGCGGACACAACATCTTTGTTGGTATGTGGTGCTGAGGATGGAACCCGGGCCGCACGCATGCCAGGCGAGCGCGCTACCGCTTGAGCCACATCCCCAGCCCTGTTTAGAGATATTTTATTATTATTATTGTAATAATTATTATTATTATTACTAGTACTACTACTACTTGTAGTTCTGGGGGCGGAACTGCAGGCTTTGCCCATGCCACACCCCCAGCGCTCTATTTCCTTTGAATTACAGGTGACAGAAAGGAGGCAGGCTTTTTTTTTTTTTTTTTTTTTTTGCGTGGATTGGGGCTTTTGAGCCGAATCCCGCAGCACAGGAACCAAGGTGCACCTCTACCTTGTGGGCCGCCAGCCCCGCACACCCCCGCGGGCGAGCGAGTGGTTCGGTCTGATTTCTTCCCGCTAACTGGGAGGTTGGGGCCTTGTCCGAGGAACTGGGAGTTTGGGAGCGGGTTGCCAGGGCGCGACACAGGGTCTGCGACTGGCTCTTGTGGGCGCCTCTACTTTCGGCGAGGGAGGGAAGAGAAGACCTGCCGCAGGCGAGTCAGCCGGCCACCCCCCCGCCTCTGCGAAACCACGCATGGGCGAGTCCAGACACTGGGTGCAACCGTCGCGACTTCCGGTTCCGATGACTGCGGCGCCGGAAGCCGGGCCCCGGCTGCAGCACTAGGTGAGTGCCCTGGGGCTTCTGGGCCCGGAGGTGCGGGCCCCGGGAGGCTGGCGGAGGCGTGGGGGGCGGCGAGGGGTGCGGCGGCGGGGCTAGCGCAGCGCGGTCGGCCTCCCAGGCTAGAGCCAGGGAGGCCAATTCATCCTTGGGCTTGTTCTCTTTGCAGTCTTTGGCCCCGGTCCGGGAGCTGGAGTCCCACAGAATCATAGGACTCCCCATCCTCGTAGAGCTTCCTCAAGGGGTGGAGTCGCTGGGTCCCATCCTATTGCGACCCCCTGGGTCGGAGGTAAACAGCTGCGGGAGGAGGGGTCCCCGGCAGGGCATTTGAACCCGGTCTTTTGAAGGATAAGTGGGAGTTTGCCAGTCATTTGCACGTTAATGCAGATGTAATCTCAGTAGGGTCTTGCTGCTCTGGCAAAATGGTGGGCTTTTTCCTCCTTCCAGTTTTGGTCAGTGAGAAAAGAGATTTGAAACTTCAGATAGAGATGTGCAATGAAGAAAAGGAACAGGGCCATATAATAGGGTGACTGGTGTGAGGTTGAGGCAGAGGGGTCAGCATTATATACTGTGGTCTAGGAAAGCCTTTCAGAAAAGATGGCATTTGTGTTGAGATCTGAATAAAAAAGAGCCAGCTGTGGGAAGAGATGGGAAAGTGATCCAGGATGAGGGAAGAATCAGTACAAAGGCCCTGAGGCAGAAATAAATTGGATGTAGTGAAAAAACAACAACAACAACAAAAAACAAAACAGAAGGCTAATGTGGCTAGAATGAAGCATGTGAGGGGAAGAGTAGTGGGGTGATGAAGTTGGAAAGGTAGTTGGGTGGGGTGTGGGATTGTTCATGTAGAATCTTGTAGGCCAAATAGAGGGAGAGGATTTTATTCCATGTACAGTGGAAAAATCTATTGGTTTTGAGCAGAGGAATGTTATGTAAGGTGGAAAAGATATAAGGATGGCGACTGTAAAAGTACAATAATTAGGTCAATGGAGGCAATGGAGATAAAAGGCAAAAGGGACTAGTCTATGATTGGCACAAATTTCCCTTCTTCCCTTCCCAGGAGCCCTCTTGTTTTGGGATGCTTTAAACTAGGGGCAAAACTCCCATGCCTGCCTAAGTGAAGATTTAATACTTCCCTCATGTGTCTTTCTGTTCATACCTACAGGTTTGAGCTCAAGCTCTCTAGGTCAAAGATTAGGGAATGGATGCACTATTTATTTTAATTAATTATTTTGTTACTGGGGATTGAATCCAGGGATACTTCGCCACTGAGCCCAGTTGCTCAGGGCCTCATTAAATTGCTGAGGCTAGCCTTGAACTTGTGATCCTCTGCCTCAGCCTTCTGAGTCTCTGGGATTATAGTAAGAGCTACCATGTCTGGCAGATGCACCATTTAATCAGCAAGTACTTAGCACTCATTCATGAACCAGGCCATGGACTGGGCACTGAAGGAAGGGAGAAGATGGGACTAATGTTAGTCTTTGAGAGCTCATAGTCCAGTGCAGGGAGATAGATGTATGAACAGATAGTTACTGTGTCACAGTAGAGACTAAGATGTGTGTGGTGCAGATGCCCCTGGACAGGCTTGTGAAGTAGAAAAGGAGGTAGGGAGAGGTCATTGAGGGTTTCATGGGGAGCTGATAATTAGCTCATAGTCTCCATGCAAAAAAGAAATACATAAGATTCTCTAGAATAGGAACAGCTTGTGCAAAGGAAGTGAATACATAATTGCAAAGGGCTGTGTATCAAGCCATGGCAGTATTGAGCAAAGGGGTGACAGGATCAGATGTGTGTTTTGGAACGATCACCCTGGTGGATAATTTCTGTACACTGAGGTCTTGGGGAGGGAGGCTTAGGTTCAGTGGATGTGAAATTCCAGGCATTGGCATTTATATTAATCATGCAGTTTGTCAAAGACAAATACACACATTCTTGTGTTTGGTGAAGATGATGGATTGATTTAAGCAGCATGGTTTGTTCCAAATGGACTGAATTAGCCTCTTGGGCTCTTTGGATTGAATACCTGCAGGAAGTCCTGGTTTCCTGACTCTTTTATTTTTAATTGAATTGAATTTGATTGATTGATTGATTGATTGATTGATAGATTACTGTGCAGGGGAGCCAACCCAGGGCCTTGCACATGCTAGGCAAGTATTCTAATACTGAGGAACACTCCAGCGCCTCTTTTCAAATTTTTTTGTTTTATTGAGTTAATAACACATTTCAGTTCACAGTATATTTAATTGGTCCATGCAGGTCCCTTTCCTTTTTTCTCTTCTTGTATAGGGGATTGAACCCAGGGCCTTGCACATGCTAGGCAAGTGTTCTGCTGCTAAACTACATTCCTAGCCTTTTCTTAAAAACAGAACAAAACAAAAAAACCCCAACTCACTAAGTTGCCCAGACTGGCCTGCTTYAGCCTCTAAAGTTGTTGGGATTACAGTCATGCTCCACCACCTGGAAGGGCCTTTTTCTTGTTTGCATTTATGTATGTATCCCCTTATTATCTCCATCCCTCCCTTTCTCCCCACTATAGGAAACCACTCTAATGTGTTTGGTGTATAGTCAGCCCTCCACATCCATAGGTTCTCATCTGTGGATTCAGGAGATCACAGATCAGAAATATGCAGAAAAAAGGTGTCTGCACTGAAGATGTATAGTCGGTTTTTTCTTGCCATTATTTCCTACAGTGTAACAATTATTTTTATAGCATTTACATTGTATTAGGTATTATAAGTAGTCTAGAGATGATTTAAAGTATAGGAAAGGGGCTGCTGGGGATGTAACTTGGTGGTAGAGTATGTGTTTAGCATGCTCAGGGCATAGGGGAGAATGTGTAGGTAATGTCAAATATTACATCATTATTTCTTTATTTTTTAGTCCTTGATGGACTTTTATTTGCTTATCTATATGTGGTGCTGGGAATCAAATGCAGTGCCTCACACATATGAGGCAAGCGCTATACTGCTGAGCTACAACTCCAGTCCCTATGCCATTTTTTAAAAAATATTTATTTTTTAGTTGTAGTTGGACACAATACCTTTATTTTATTTGTTTATTTTTATGTGGTGTTGAGGAGCGAACCCAGGGTCCTGCATATGCAAGGCAAGTGCTCTACCGCTGAGCCATAACCCCAGCCCCTCCTGTGCCATTTAAAAAAAAATTATTATTTTTTTTTTGGTTGTAGGTGGACACAATACCTTTATTTTATTTATTTATTTTGAACCCAGTGCCTCACACATGCTAGGCAAGTGCTCTACCACTGAGCCATGACACCAGCCCAATTATGCCATTTTGTATTAGGAACTTGAGCACCCATAGTATTCTAGGGAAATCCAATCCCCTACAGATACTGCGGGATACTTTTTATCCTTTTATTTGGTGTATATCTTTTATTTGCCTTAGTTGTATGCATATGTTTTAAGTTTTTATTTAAAACACCTGGACTTCATTTTATTTCCCGTACCTCATGACCATGCTTTGGGATCTTCCTGATGTGGCTGTGGATATATCTAGAATACAGTTTCTAAGTGCCACACAGATTTCCATAGGTGCACCCCCACTTTTTTACTTACTTACTGATTCTTCTAGTGATGAGGCCCCTAGATTTTTCTCCTAGTCTTTGTTACAACAAACAATGCTGGGATGAAAAGCCTTTGCCCATCTCCTTCCTCAACACTCCTTCCCCACGCCTGGGGCTTGAACCCGGGGGTGCCCAGCCACTGAGCCACATCCCCAGTCCTTTTTTATTTTATTTTGAGATAAGAGTCTTGCTAAGTTGCTGAGGCTGGCCTTGAACTTGTGATCCTCCTGCCTTGGCCTTGTTTTTTATTTTAAGACAGGGTCTTACTAAGTTTTCAAGACTGATGTCGCTGGTGATCCTCCTGCATCAGCCTTGTGAATCCTTTGGATTATAAATTGTGCCACCATCCCTGACTCCTTCCTCAACTTTTTAATGAAGTCTCAAGATGCTGCTTTGGGTTTTCATGGTCCTCATGTCACTCAATATCCAACAGGACCAGACCTTTTGACCTTGGTAAGGTCCTGACCTTTTTGAGACATGTTTATTTTTGGTAAATTGGGACTCTGGTTCCCAGACACTTGGCAAATGTTCTTTTGTCTTGCCATCTTCCCCAGCAGATGGTTCTCACAGGCTCTGTGATTAACTTCCTGTTTCTTGTTATCATTAATGGTTACTATACATTGATTCCAACCACAAGAATTTGCTGCTTTCCTTTCCTAGTAAAATAGTGACCTGTTAAGCTGGTTCTGGCCATACTTGTAATATGAAGTACTTCAGGGACAGGCTTTGGAGCCTAGAGCCAGACCGCCTGGCTTCATTTCCCACTCCTCCGCTTCCCAGATGCTGTGACCTTGGGCAACTTATTTAATCTTTCTGTGTCTCATTTTCTCATCTGCAAAGTGGGTCTAATAACTGTACATACCTCATAGTGTTTTTGTGAGAATTAAATGAATGAGTTAATGCATGTGAAGTCATTACAGCAATGCCTGGTACATAATAAGCTCTTATGAAATGTTAGCTATTAATAATAGCAATAAAATTTTCATATCATTTTAGATGGGAGTCTATGTTACCTTTTGCCCACACTGGCACATATCCAGTTATAGTGTATTTCTTTGGGGTGGGGTGGCATTTCTTCTGGACACCATGGTTACAAATTTTAGTGTGTTTGATAGCATCAGCTATAAGGAGAGAAGGTTAAACATATCCCAAGGCCCCAGGTGCCATTTCCTTGTTACTTGTTCCCTGTGTCTAGGGAGATAGGGTTATAGAATGGGACTGAGGTGATGAGGCCAGGACTGGTGGTTTTGCTAGAAATGGGGAAGAGTCTGGTGAAAGTGGGAAGATTCTGATGTTCATCTTGGACATAGGATTTTCTTTATGATGTTACTCTGTACCTCTTTTTGGTGTGTGTGTGGTGGGGAGGGTACTGGTGGTTGAACCCAGGGGGACTCCACCACTGAAATATACCCCTAGTCCTTTTTTTTTGAGAGAGAGAGAATTTTTTATATTTATTTTCTAGTTTTCGGCGGACATAACATCCCTGTTTGTATGCGGTGCTGAGGATCAAAACCGGGCTGCATGCATGCCAGGCAAGCACGCTACCACTTGAGCCACATCCCCAGCCCACCCCCAGTCCTCTTTATTTTTTATTTTGAGATGGGGGTCTCACTAAGTTGCCCAAGCTGGCCTTGAACTTGCCATCCTCCTGCCTTACCTCCCGAGTTGCTGGGATTACAGGTGTGCACCTGTACTCCTTAAGAGAATGACAACTGGCTAGATTTGACCATTTTAGAGGGATGTGTAAGCAGTCCCCTCATTTCAAGTCCTATAGATATATGAGGAGGGAAATTAATTCTGTCACCAACATTTTGAAGATTGTGTGTTCAGTGTCAAAGCCTGCTCTAAAATGGTGGGGAGCAGTGACCTAGGGTGAGAAGGGTTTAAGAAGAGGGCTAGCTTCCTGTGACATCTGACAAACTGGAGAAAGATGGGCCAGAGAGCAGACCAGGGGGAAGCAACATGTATCAGGACGTCGGGCTGTGAGAATGAGGGTTCTGGTTGGTTGGGCACAAGGTGCCTATCCATGAGCTAGCAGTGGGGGTTGGCTGACACTAGAGGGAAAGGCTAGGCCCATCAGACCAACATGGTTGGCAGTTATTCTCTAAGCTATATTTCCAAATATTATCCATTCAAGGATTGCCTTGATGGTTTGTATCACTGTAGTATATGGATAACCAATTTCACAAACTGTAAGAGGTGGCCATAAGGAATATAAGAAATACATGAGATATGACCCTGTGCAGTGTATGGGTTTCTAGTTAGACTGTATAGCCTGCTAAGGATTGTGTGAGGCCTGCTCTGTGTCCTGATTTAAAAGGGAAATGAGCTGGATGTGGTGGTGCATTCCCTGTAATCCCATTTACTCAGGAGGCTGAGGCAGGAAGAGCACAAGTTCCAGGCCAAACTCACCAATTTAGGGAGACGCTCAGAACCTTAATGAGACTCTGTCTCAAAATAAAAATAAAAAGATCTGGGATGTAGTTCARTGGTTATGAACCCTAGTATCAAAAAAGTCAAACCAAACTAAAAACTGAACAAACTGGGTATGGTGGTACACACCTGTAATATCTGTGACTCAGAATACTGAGGCAGGAGGATCACAAGTTCAAGGCAAGCCTCAGCAACTTAGTGGGGCCCTGAGCAACTTAGTGAGACCCTCTCTCAAAATAAAAAATAATAAAGGACTGGGATATAGCTTAGTAGTAAAGTGCTCCTGGTACAATCCCTAGTACCAAAAAAAAAAAGAATCCCCTGCTTAACAAAACAGATTTGGTCCACAGCTTCCCATCTATCTACCCAGGTACCTGTGGGAGGACACATAAGGACTTATATAAGGACAGGATCAAGTTTTTTTTTTTTTAATACTTTGTTTTTGGTTCATGTTTTGTAACAAAGCATGTGCCACCATACCTAGCAATGCAGGGGATTTCTGAATATTGATATATGATATGGGAATGGTGAGAGGGATCTGAATAAATGGTCTGGGAGCTCCCCTACTGTGTCACTCTGGTCCATTTCGGGCTTGACCCAGTTGACATTCCTCAGGCAGAGGCTGTCATGGAGCAATGTGCATGTGTGGAGAGAGAGCTGGACAAAGTCCTGCAGAAGTTCCTGACCTATGGGCAGCACTGTGAGCAGAGCCTGGAGGAGTTGCTACACTATGTGGGCCAGCTGCGGGCTGAGCTGGCCAATGCAGGTGGGTGTCCACCCCTGAGAGATCCCCATACCAGACTTCCTGTGGATGGGGGAGATCTAGGGCTACTTGGTGACGTGGTCCGGGAAGGATGATTGATACATATACCTCCAGGCCTCTTCAAATGGGTGTAATGGCATTCTCTGAGCTCTTTCAAAAAGCCCAACCAAAATTATTAATTTACCTGAAATTATTCTGTTGTGTTTATTATTTTTTTTTTGTCCCCTGCTTTCTTTTTTTAAATTTGGGTACCAGGGATTGAACTCAGGGGTGCTTAACCACTGATCCACACCCTCAGCTCTTTTGCATATTTTATTTAGAGACAGGGTCTCACTGAGTTGTTTAGTGCCTCACTGAGGTTGAGGCTGGCTTTGAACTTGCGATCCWCCTATTTCAGCCTCCCGTGCCACTGGGATTACAGGCATGTGCCATCGTACCCGGCTCTTTATTCTTTTTTTGATAGTGCTAGTGATCAAACCCAGGACCTCGTGCATGTTAGGCAAGCACTTTACCACTGAGCTACATCCCCAACCTATCTCTCTTTTGAGCTACAATTCATATATCATTAAGCTCACTCTTTTCGAGTATACAATTCAGTGTTTTTTTAGAATATTTACAAAGTTGAACAATCATTACTACTATCTAATTTTAGAACATTTTCATCACCCCCAAAAGATACCCAACCCATTAATAGTCTGTCCATTCCTCCCACTAACACCTGGCAATTGCTTATCTACTTTGTCTGTATAGATCTACCTATTCTGGACACTTCATATATATAGATTCATACAATATGTGGCCTTTTGTTTCTGACTTCTTTCAATAGCATAATGTTTTCAAGATTCTTCCATGTTGTAGCATGTACCAGGACATCATTTCTTTTTGATACAGGATCTTGCTGTGTTGCTCAGGCTGGTCTCAAACTTGTAGACTCCCGTGATCCTCCCGCCTCCCAAGTAGCAGGGACTACCACCATGCCTAGCTTTATTACTTTTTATGGCTAAATAATATTGATTGTATGAATAGGCCACATTTTATTTATCCATTAGTTGATAAACATTTGGGTTATTTCTTATTCACATATAAGATTTTGGGTGGCCATCACTTTTATTTCTCTTGGAAGTGGAATTACTGGTATAGAGTGGGTCAGTGTTTAACTTGACAAACATATAATTCTGTGTATGAATGCAGTACATGAGCTAAAACAGTCAACTCACAGTAAATGCCAAATTGTCTTCATTTTATAGCAATCTATAGTTTTTATAGATGAAGGAATGAAAGCACAAGGGATAAATTGGCTTCTCCCACTTGACCAGTTCCAAGTTAAAAAGTGGCAGGACTTGAAATAGAAGCTAGATATTTCACTGTGAAGTTCAGGCTGCCAGGCCAGCATTTAGCAATGAACTACTTCCTCAGCTACTTTTTTTTTTTTTTTTTTTTTTTGTGGTGCTGGGGAGCAAATCCAGGCCTCATGCATGCTAGGCAAGCACTTTATTACCAGGCCAGCATCTAGAATAGAGGAAGCAGAAATGGATCCTCTGTGTCCTGACTTGCTCCACTGTTTCTCTGAAGCACTCCAAGGGACCCCTCTCTCAGCTACCCTCTCCCTGGTGATGTCCCAGTGCTGCCGGAAGATCAAAGACACTGTCCAGAAACTGGCTTCAGACCATAAGGACATTCACAGCAGCGTGTCCCGAGTGGGCAAAGCCATTGACAGGGTGAGCATGTGGGCAGCCCRAGGACTAGGGGTGGGAATATCCTGGAGCTTGGCAGGAGAGCAATTGTGGGCACTGAAGTTATTGGGCCCTGTCTCTCCTTGTCAGAACTTTGACTCTGAGATATGTGGTGTAGTCTCCGACGCGGTATGGGACTCACGGGAGAAGCAGCAGCAGATTCTGCAGCTGGCCATTGTGGAGCACTTGTACCAGCAGGGCATGCTCAGTGTTGCTGAGGAGCTGTGCCAGGTAATGACTGTGCCAGGAATCAGGTGGGCTGGGAAGGTGCTGAGGGTACTTACTCATTCTGCCTTTTATCTGATCATTTTCTTCCTATTAAATCCMTGCCATTGTTTAAATACATTGTATTTTAGAAATCATTTCCCTTCCATAAAATAGAAGGTTGCTCTAAAAAGATAAATGATGAAAAGCAAAGTTACTGATTTCTACAGTAACCAGGTTGCTAAGTTGAAGCCTGATATCCCCTTATTAAAAAGGGGATTAGTRAAATGATAAAGTAGCACTTGTTAGGCATTAAAGACACATTGGCAATGGAAGAAAAGGAGTCTTTGCCTTAATGTAATTAGGAGGATTGAAAAGGAATTTTCTCACCAAGCTCATCAATGTCAGGTCTGAGGACTGTTCTCAGTACCCCAATGGTAGGATATAGTTTGTGGTCTGCACTCTGCACTCTGGGAGGTCAGCCTGTGGCACTCGACCTCCTTAGAAATGAAATGGGAATAAGAGGGACCTATGTGGCTGGCAGGAGACCATGGCTTGCCTTGCAAACTCTGCCTCACTTCAGTCTGTTTTTGGCAGATCAAGTTTTATTATGTGTCTAACAGAATTTTGGAAACTCTGTCTTCCAGTGGTGAGATCTCTCTTTCTCCCCCACAGGAATCAACACTGAATGTGGACTTGGATTTCAAGCAGCCCTTCTTGGAGTTGAATCGAATCCTGGAAGCTCTGCACGAACAAGACCTGGGGCCTGCACTTGAGTAAGGAGGACCATGGGTGGGCTAGTAGCACTCTATCATAGCCTCTCAGGGGCAGAACTTGTCTGTGGTCTTCATTTCACCCAGATGTGCTTGACATGCTTCCAGCCCTGTCTCAAGGGCCTCACACTCTTTTGGATCCCTTCTCTCAGATTCTGGCTGTGCCAGAGCCCGCTTTTTAGCCCTCACCAACATGGCTCCTTTCTTCCCAGATGGGCCGTTTCTCATAGGCAGCGCCTTGTGGAGCTCAACAGTTCCCTGGAGTTCAAGCTACACCGACTGCACTTCATCCGTCTCCTTGCAGGCGGCCCTGAGAAGCAGCTGGAGGCCCTCAGTTATGCCCGGCACTTTCAGCCTTTTGCTCGACTCCACCAGCGGGGTATGTGCCCAGGCACTGAGGGTGGTGCTGCTGGGGTTCAGCTGATGTGTCAGTTTGCCAGTCCCTGTGCCCACATTGGGTTCTGACACCCAGATGCCTCTCCCCAACCTGAAAAACTCTCTTTGACCCCTTATTGCCTCTGAGGTAAGCTCCACACTCAGTGCTCTTCTTCATCCACATCTGTGAAATYTTTATACTGTCATCTCAGACACATCAAGTCTCCAGTGCCTGCTGTGTGCCATACCTATACCCAGAGCATGCCATGCCCTCATGCTGCTTCCTCTGCCTTATATGTTTCTACCTACCTAGAAGGGCCCTGTTTAATAAGACTCACCTGAGCATCTTCTCTGGTATGTTCTTCCTGAGTCCCCTTCCTTCATATTTGCATTTCCAAGCCTGTCCTTTGAGTCTTGCCTTTGAATGACCCATACTCTTCGACCAAGGATGAACCCAGGACCACACACATGCTAGGCAAGCACTCTACCACTGAGTACATCCCCAGCCCACAAGCAATGATTTTAAATTTTTGTTAGATACTGCTGCCTCCTGAAAGTGTCAAACATGGGATCTGCTTTTGTTAAAAAGGGAGATTAGAGTTGGTGAGTGGAGACATTTTGTGCTAAGTGGAGACTTGCTTTTGATGCAAACAGAAGGATGGAAAGAGGATTGGAAAGGGACTTCCTCCTGATTCCATGTTGGCAACACCTGTTCTTGATTTATGGCAGCAGCCCAGACTTCCCCTTCCAGCTGGTTTTAGAATCAGTTTTGCCTGAGGGTGTTTCAGTTCCTGCTCAGTCTGTCAAGGGGCCAGGGAGCTGCCTGAGGGTGTTTCAGTTCCTGCTGAGTCTGTCAAGGGGCCAGGGAGCTGCAGTGTTCAGTGGAGCTCACAGAATTGTGCTTCTCAGTCCTGCTGCCCTCCCCCCCAGGATGAATCTGGAGCCCCTGCATCCTCTGAACTGCTGCTTGGTTGCCTTGTAGAGATTCAGGTGATGATGGGCAGCCTTGTGTACCTGCGGCTGGGTTTGGAGAAGTCGCCCTACTGCCACCTCCTGGACAACAGCCACTGGGCAGAGATCTGTGAGACCTTTACCCGGGATGCTTGTTCCCTGCTGGGGCTCTCTGTGGAGTCCCCACTCAGTGTCAGGTATGACCCAGCCTGGGAGGGCAGCATAAGGGGGAGGGCTTAGAGGGAAACATGATTTTGCCAAGGCACCGCCACCTACTGGGATGCTTCTTGGTGTTTTCACCGAATCATCCTTCGAGGCAGAAATTCCCCGTTTTTATAGTTAAAATAGAGGGCCCTGCCTTGCCTGCACATCTCTCCTAGACTATGGCAAGACCCTCCCAATGAAGACAAATCCATGCCTTTGTGCAGCCCTGTGACCTTTTTGTTTCTTCTCTTAAACAGCCACTTCCCTCAGGGGAGACTTGTGTGGTGGAGAAATGTGAATTTAGAGCTGTTGCTTAGAAGTCTCCGTCACAGTAATATCCTTCTATCCCAGCTTCACAATAACTCTGGGAGTTGGAGGTACTGTTATCCTCATTTTACAGATGAGGAAGTGGCAGTTCACCATGGAATTAGCATGCCTCACAGAATAAAGGACTCTTGGATTGACCCCAGAGCTATACTCCACCACAGTGGACAGCTGTCACATTGTTTTTTTTTTTGCAGTACTGGGGATTCAACCTAGGGGTGTTCTACTCAGCTCTTTTTATTTTATTTTTATTTATTTATTTATTTATTAATATTTTAGGTGTAGATGGACACAACACAATGCCTTTTTATTTTTATGTGGTGCTGAGGATGGAACCCAGGTCCCGCCTGTGCTAGGCGAGCTCTCTACCGCTGAGCCACAATCCCAGCCCCAGCTCTTTTTATTTTAATTTAAAAAAAAATTTTTTTTTTTCCACTGAGGATTGAACTCAGGGGTGCTTTACTACTGAGCTAAATAAATCCCTAGTCCTTTTAAGATTTAAATTTTGAGATAGGGTCTCACTAAGTTGCTGAGGCTAACTCCAGCTTGTGATCCTCCTGCCTTAGCCTCCTGAGTAGCTGGGATTACAGGTGTGTACCCTACTGCCCCAGCTTCACATTGCATTTTATTTAGACTGGTTATGGAGTTTTATACTGTTTCCCAATGTGGAAGACTGACTCCACTTTCATCTACTTTGTTACCATGGATTTGGATTATTATTTCCTGGCAAGAACACCACTGGCCTTTTGACAGGCTCTGTGTTGTACAGCACTACCCTATGCATTTCTAGAATTCATCATCCAAGTTCCCAACCAGTGAGCTCCCTATCGCCCATGCGATGATTTTTGAGAACTGAATCCCCCTTTCTCATTTTTCAGTATCCTAGATTATAGCCACTATCCTACTGGTATACTGTGACAAGACAGTAGGATAGACTCTGTAAATGGGCTGGGGCCCTTCCAAATTGACCACTGTCCTCCAAGTCACACCATGGAATTTTTTTAGTGTGTGTTTACTGGGGATTGAACTCAGGGGTGCTCTACCACTGAGCTTCATCCCCAGCCATTTTTATTTTTTATTTTGAGACAGGATCTCGCTAAGTTGCCCAGGCTGGCCTCCAAYTTTCGATCCTCCTGTCTCAGCCTCCCGAGTTGCTGGGATTACAGGTGTGCACCACCATGACCAGCATACCATTTTTCATTGGTTTGGATGAGCAGATATCTGCTCTGGAGCTTCTCTTTGTCTTTCATATAGGTTCTCAAACTTTGGGGTACATTAGAATGACTCTCTAGAGTTAGACATACCTGTCTACATATATAGCATTTTAAGAGCCACTGAGGAATTTTCAAGGACTGATTTCATCTCTCGCTACTTTTTAATCCTGTCTCAAGTCCCTTGCCAAAGACATGCTGCACCAGTCCTTTTGTCTGTCATCCAGGTCTCTGTGGTCTGAGCTACTCCAGCCCCTGCTCTTTGTTCTGCAGCTTTGCCTCTGGCTGTGTGGCGCTGCCCGTGCTGATGAACATCAAAGCTGTGATTGAGCAGAGGCAGTGCACTGGGGTCTGGAGTCACAAGGATGAGTTGCCGGTGAGGCCTGGTAGGGGGAGGCATTAGCACAAGGCAGGCACCAGGGAATACAGCCAGGACAGAAAATGGAACTCAATCCTTTGTCACCCTCTCCAGATTGAGATTGAACTAGGCATGAAGTGCTGGTACCACTCGGTGTTTGCTTGCCCCATCCTCCGCCAGCAGACATCGGATTCCAACCCTCCCATCAAGCTCATCTGTGGCCATGTCATTTCCCGAGACGCACTAAACAAGCTCATTAATGGAGGAAAGTAAGTCCCCCCCCCCCCCCCCCCCCCCCCCCCCCCCCCGCCTAATTCTATCTTGACCAGGCTGCTCTGCTGGCCACCCCTGAGATGGTCTTGGTTCTCCCTTTGCAGGTTGAAATGTCCTTATTGTCCCATGGAGCAGAACCCAGCAGACGGGAAACGCATCATATTCTGATTGCTGCCTGGAAGGAACTTTGTTGGAAGGGGTTTTCTCCCATGAGCCTCAGTCTGTCTAGGGGCGGATGGATGAGTAGCTTTAGTGGATTGGAATTCATTTCAGAGGAACTGGCTGAGGAACACTACCATGGGGTGGAGCCTGTCCAAGCATTTGGCAGAGGCCAAGAAAAGAGGTTAAGAGCTAGACTGGGCAGCTACCTCCTTGGCTATAAGGAAAGGGAAATGCTAGCCTCTGTACTCTTGCTGTTTATATTTGCCCCACTTAGCAACTGACAGAGTAGCAAAGGTCTCGGACATCAGCAACAATCTTCCACCCCATCCTCAGCCATGGCTTTTACTGCCATGTGAAGGCTGTATCCACCTCTGCCTCTCAGCCTAGATCCAKCTGTGGCCAGCTCCTCCCACTGTATAGCCTCAACTGTATATCCATTCCCCGTTGTAAATAGTCCAAGTTAGAACTGAATGCTGTTGTTTTATAACTTTGAGCAAATATATTCACAGCTCTTCTCCTTACTTCTAGCCAGCCTGGAGCTTCACTGACAATTATGTGCCCGCTGCACCATACATACTGGCATGGCCTGGTGGCTGCTAACAGAACCATGGTTAGCCAGATCATCTGGAAAGTCTGCCTCGGGGGAAAATGTGGGAGATGTGCAACCCTGGGCAAGGTGCTTTTATATATATGTGTATAAAATCTTATTAGAAATCACTATAAGAGGATTTAAGATGAAAGGATTTAAGATTAAGAGTTTCAGCAGCTCTTGACCCAAGCATAAACTCTTTGCAGATTACCCCAGGGAGGCTGAAGGCTGGTTGCTATGGGTACTAAATCCTGTGGTGAGGGAGTTTATAAGGCAGGGAGGGACCTCAGGTATACAGTGTTTGCAAAGGCCATTATGTTAAGAAGGAGAAAGGCCTGGGTTTRTATTTAGCTTCATATTCCTATATTAAATCTACTAGCCAGGTGCTGTGGGGCATGTCTGTAATCCAGTGACTTGGAAGGCTGAGGCAGGAGGATTCCAAGTTCTAGGCCAGCCTCAGCAACTTAGCAAGACCCTGTCTCAAAAAATAAAAAGGACTGGGGATATGATTTAGTGGTAGACTGTTCCCGGGTTTAATCCCTAGTATAAGGAAAAAAAAAATTTACTGTTTTGAGTTTTTTCCCAGTAAGTTTTCCACGTTTCTTTTTTTCCCCTACTAAGTTGCTGAGGCTGGAATTGAACTTTTGATCCTCTTGTCTCAGCCTCCTGAGTTGCTGGGATTACAGGTATACATCACAGTGCCCAGGGTCCACAATGGTTTTTAAAGCTCCTGGAAGAAAAGAGGAATGGGACTGTCTCTTATGTAGTGGCTGCAGGCCCTGTTGCCTCATCTCAAAGCCTACGCTTCTCCTGAAAATGAGAGTTGAAAGTTCTGGAGTACACAGGAAAATCATTTCTCAAGCTGGGCACTGTGGTGCATGCTTATAATCTCAGCTTCTCAACTACTCAGGAGTCTGAGGCAAAGGATTACAAGTTTGAGATCAGCGTCAGCAACTCAGACCCTATGTCAATAAAGGGGCTCAGGATATGGTTCAATGATAAAGCACTGCTGAGTTCAATCTTCCTTACTACCCCTCACCCTCCAAAAAATCATTTCTTAGCTTAAACCCAAGCATGGGCCCTGAGTGACCAAGCATTAGCACTGAACATTCTTTGGGTTCTCTGGTGAGAAGGGATGCTTCCACTCTTTCCTGCCTGCCAACTCCTTGGCTACACCAGCTGCTGATGCTTTAAAAAAAAAAAAAAACACCCACAGACTCATCACATTTTAGTCTTAGCATTTACTTCTCCCACTCCATATTCTTGGAACTCTCTTCATTGAAGCTCAACAGGAAGTGGAACTGATGGAAAGATGCTGGCTCTATCTTCAACAAACAGCTGTTGGAGCTAGCTGGGAAGAATCCTCATGGAATTGGAAGATGCTATGAGGATGGGCAATCATTCTGGTACCAGTTCAACAGCTTCTGGAACAGGTGCCTAGGCTGCTGTCCAAGTCCTTCACAAGGGAGGTGGCAGGGCCTGCACTTCCTCCAAGCATTCATCATAGGCTTCTTGGTATTCCTCGTGGGGCTTGACCATTATCACACAGGTGGGGCGCTTGGAGCCAGCAGCTGCACCCAAGTCCTTTAAAGAAGAGGAAAAGTGAGGTGGTTTGGAAAAAAGCCTATATAGCCCCTATGCCAGAGTCACAACTATATGACCAACTAGCCTAATCTGGCCCACAGCTCTGTTCTACTGAGTACACATTGTTTTTAAAAACATTTCCAGCCAGGTGCAGTGGTGGTGCACACCTGTAATCCAGCTACTCCTGAGGTTTAGGCTGAGGCAGGAGGATTGCAAGATTGAGGTCAGCCTGGGCGACTTACTGAGATCCTGTCTTAAAAAATAAATGGCTGAGGATGTAGCTCAGTGATAGAGTGCCCCTGGTCTTAATTCCCACTACCATAAAATAAATAAAGGACTGAGGGTATAGCCCAGTGGTGGAGTACTTGCCTAGCATGCATCAGGCCCTGGGTTCAATCCCTAGTACTGGTGAAAAAAACATTTTCTTTGAATTGGCTGCCATCATTTAATCCCAAGCAAACTTTCAAGCCCTGGTCCAGCAACACTGGGCCTACATTCCCACATGGCTACTGTAAAAGGGCTCCAGCCTTGCAGGTGCTGTCCTCATAGGCAGGGTGGGGCGTGTGCTAAGTCTCTGCCATCTCCCACATCCTATGCCCTATACCTCATTCCTGCTATGGAAGGACAAGGATAGATACAGGTTCCAAAAACACTTTGAGCATGAATCCACCTAACATAACTAACATGGATGCARCATCTTAAAAGTTTATGAGCACTTTCATGTACATCTGTTTTCATTCTCATGGACAGAGGAAACCCTCCAGGCATGGTGGCACACACCTACAGACTCAGCTACATGGGAGGCTGAAGCAGGAGGATTGCTTGAGCCCAGGAGTTCTGGGTCAGCCTATATAATGTAAGGTGGTCCTGTCTCAAAAAAACAAGTGTAGAAATGTAACTTATCTGTCCCACAACTAAGAAGCAACGGACCAAGAAGGCACCAAAACCTGTCGTAATGCTTAAGGATATGAGTTCTTTCCCATTCGGCCTGCTGCTGCAGACTGCATTCTGGAAACCCTCCCCAGGGTTGACCAAGGTGTGTGTGTGTGTGGTGATGCTCCTTACCGTCTTAGAGGGGATATAGACATAGGGCAGATTCCGGTCTTCACACATAACTGGGAGATGGCAGTACACCTCAATTGGTAACGTATCTCCTGCCAAAACCATGATCCTGAAATGAGAGAACCATCATTTCTAACTTGCTCCCTTCTTTCTTTCAGTCCTAAGTTCCACATCTGGCTAGGCCTTGGGAATAGAGAGATGAATAAGATGTGCCACCCCCAAGGAATCTACAGTTACTGATGTGGGCCTGCTAAATTCTGAAGGGAGTGCAAAGTTGTTGGACAGAGGCATTCATATGGGGAAGTGAACTCTACTTCTTGAAAGCATGTAAATGCCACCAAGTATGATAAATAGTACAGTGCTGGGATAGATGAAGTATTGCAGAAATGCCAAAGAATAAGAATTCAACTCTGAGGCTAGCAAGAGACACTTGAATGGACAGCTGAATAATGTCACGTAGCCAGTGGAGGGGTAGGAGGTGTGGAAAGTGTAAGACTGAGGGAATCAGACCAATACGAGATATATAGAGGCTGGTTGTGGGGAGCCTGAGATGTCTTTGTAATCTTGGGATAGGGAAGACAGTAGAAAACAAAGCTGAAGAGATCGGCAGGGGTCCCACTTATATTCCTTTAAAGACAGGCTAAGAAGCACGAGCTCTGTCCCAAAAGGGAAAAGTTTGTCAGAGAATGCTCTACTATGGTTCTAGCTACCAAGGTATTAGGGCTTGGGGCAAGGGCCTGAGAAAGCCTGAAGACACAGAAGGAAGAGTATTCTCCCAAGGGTGAGTGACAGGCAGATGTAGGAACCCTTGATTCAAAGTCCTGCTTCCAGGGCTGGGGATATAGCTCAGTGGTTAAGCGCTTGCCTCATATGTGTGAGGGACTGGGTTCAATCCTCAGCACCACATAAAAATGAATAAAGATACTGTGTGTTCATCTACAACTAAATAAGTATTAAAAAACAACAACAAAAAACAAAATCCTGCTTCCAGGGCTGGGGATATAGCTTGGTTGGTCAAGTGCTTGCCTTGCATGCATAAGGACCTGGGTTTAATCCCTAGCACCACCACCACCAAAAAAAAAAAAAAAGTTCTGCTTCCACACCTCTAGTTTCCTTTTTGTCTCCTGCATTGTATGTTCTGCAGTCTCCTCTTTCTTATTATTATTGGTACTGGGTATCAAACCCAGGGGCACTTTACTTCTGAGATACATCTCTAGCCTTTTTAATTTTATTTTTGGAATGGGATCTTGCTAAGTTGCTGAAGCTGGCCTCAAACTTGGAATCTTCTTGCCTCAGCCCCACCCTGCCCAGCTGCAGGCTTGGCTTTTTTTTAGTACCAGGGATTGAACCCAGGGTTGTGTAACCACAGAGCCACATCCCTAGCCATTTTTTTTTAATTTATTTTTTTTTAATATTTATTTTTTAGTTCTTGGCAGACACAACATCTTTGTTTGTATGTGGTGCTGAGGATCGAACCTGGGCCGCACGCATGCCAGGCGAACGCGCTACCGCTTGAGCCATATCCCCAGCCCCCCAGCCATTTTAATATTTTTTTTTTTTAAGAGACAAGGTCTTGCTAAGTTGCTGAGGTTTGCTTTGAACTTGCAATCCTCCTGCCTCAGCCTCATGAGCTGCTGGGATTATAGGCATGAATTACTGCACTAGTTCCAGGCTCTTCTTTAAGCAGCCTTTAACTGTTGGTGTTCCTCATAGCCTGGTCTGTGGCTGCCTTCTCTCAGTATCTTCTCCCTGGATGACTCAATCCACTGCCCTTGTGTCAAGTGCACTACTCACTCCCGTATCTATTCCCTCCAGCTTGGCCTTCTTTCTTCCATGCTCCAAACACATATAGCCATATCCCTGTTGGGCAGTTAAGCTGGGGATGGAGGGCAGTGTGTCTCCGAGACATCTCAAAAAGTTGCCTAAAACCAAACTTATGATCTTTTCACACAAACCTGGTCCTCCACTGTTTACAACCTCAGAAAATGAGCCCTCTATCCATTTGGCTGGGAATGAAACCATCCATACCTCTTTAGTTTCCCTATCTGAATGTGCTCTCAAACCTATCTTCCCCCATCACTTCTCCTGGACAACAGTTGTCGCCTACTGGATTTTCCAATATCTGGCCTCTTAGTCCTTTCTTCAATTGCTAGAAAAACCTTAAGGTGTAAACATAGTTTTTCCCCTTCCTGCCTTTAACCTTAAATGGCCACCCAAAGTTCTAAGAAAAAAAAGTAAACTTAAATAATTCACAAGGCACCATGAGGAGGTTCAGCACTACACTCTTGCCCTGGGATCCACACTTTCAGCTGTCAGGACCCTGCTTCCCAAAATTAATCCTGTGTTGTTAGATCTCAGCACAAATGGGCCTGCTCAGGGAAGCTTTCCCTCATGCATCCCCACATGAACAACTAGGTCAGATTCTTCAGTGAGCATCAAATCCCATCACACACATTCTCTTTGCAGTGCTGGGGATCAAATCCAGGGTCTCACAAATGCTAAGGCAAGTGCTCTACCATGGAAACCAACATTATCTTTTGAGCACCTACAGTGAACCAAAGACTTCTCTACATAAACCAGTAAAAGGCCCTGTTCTCAAGGTACTGTCTGGCCTGAGTGGGAAATACAGGGAATAAAAATATAAGTGTGCTTCAGATTCTGACAAACGCCAGAAAAGAAATAAGTAGGATAATGAAGTCATTCTAATTGCAGCTTGCATTTTCCTCAATGACTATTATCCCAACTTGTAATTATTTTTGTGTGTGATTTTATGACCCATGTCATTGTCTTTCCACAACACAGTACTTGAAAACCAGTAGACTCAGTCTAATTAATGAATGAAGCCAGGGGTCCTAAGAGCTCTGACTTCCTTCTGGAATTCACTATGACCTTTCAAGTGATGGCTAGGTATCCGTGTTGAAGGGAGTTCATCTATTGCTTGACTGTTTATGTGGCTGGGTCAGAGTTAACCCTACCTATACCGAATACCTGCTATCAGTAGTAGCAGGCATTCAATTAGATATGCAAAATTGGGCGGAAGGAGGGTTCTTACCCTTTCTCGCCTTTGTTGACAAACTTCTGAACCTCCTTAACCCCGCGCCGAATTTGCTTCTGCTTCACCGCTGCAACGACAGAAGAATCAGTTGAATGCCGCGTCCAGCCGCCCGCTACCCGGGTCACGCCGACGCCGACTATACCTTTCTTGATGCATTTATAGAGCTTCCGCGTGAGTCTGCGAGAAGCCAGAGGCTGCGCGATAGGGTTCAGATTGACCAGCAGCTCATGGTAAGTGCGCTCTCCGCAGCACGCTTCCGCCGGAGTCTCGGGTCCGTCGGGGTCTGCCTTTATTTTGGTCATCCCGGCAGCCGCAGCAACCCAGACCCAAAGACGAATCCACGCGGCCCGCCGTCTCTGGAATTACTTCCGGGTCATCTAGCCATGCGCACACTATCACCAATCAGAAAATGAGGTCTCCGATTCAGGCCAATCATAAAGAGGGGGCGGGGTCTTGGGTCTAGGGGCGGGACCACTCTTGACTGATCAGATTAGGGGCAGGGCCAAGAGAACCTCTCTCTAGGGCGGGGCCCAGAGGAAAGAAGAGAGCGTAGGACGCCCACTTGTGTTTGTTTAAGGGATGGGCGTCGCAGGCTTTGGGAACTGTTAGTGGAGGCACCTACGCTTGGTGAGGGCGTGAGCACGTGTTGCGGGCAGGATCCTTGCCTAAAGAGCGGAGTCTGCGACGGGGAAGTCTATACTCGATGTGATTCCAATACCTAGAACGTCTTTCCTCAGATGGGCAATGCGGTTCCCGAGCTGGCCCTGGGGGGTGTGTCCACAAGTTAAGGTAAAGCCGGATACTGCTAAAGCTTTATTCTGTTCCTGCATAATTATTTTTTTTWATTTTTGATACCTTTTTCTTGCATAATTTCTCATCCTTTGTTTTCTTTTTCCTGGACGCCGTTGTGCAGCTATGAAACAAACATACAGAGCTAGGGACAACCCCATTAACTGAACGCCTTCATCTGGACGCTTCTCCCCAGATTGCCGGTGGACCGCTTCCTGGGGAATCTGCCCAAATGTTACCCATGGAGGAGGTTCCTCTGATCACTTTATCAGCAATTTCAGTCCCCTCTCACCGCCCACAAGCTTTCCCTAACCTTTTATAGTCCCCCTAATTCTTTTTTTAAATTATTATTTTATTTTTTAGTTTAGTTGGACCTTTATTTATTTTTATGTGGAGCTGAGGATCTAACCCAGGGCCTCACACGTGCGAGGCGAACTCTCTACCACTGAGCCGCATACCTAGTCCTCCCCGTAATTCTTACCCGCTATTTCTTAGGGCATGTGAACACAGCTGAGTGTTGCCGTGAACCCTGCCGGGGAAAGAGATTTGGGGTGAGGATAAGGAAGAGCTCTGAGTAATTGGTCAGTTGGAAGTTCTGTAGATTAGTGGACAGTTGACACAGATAGAGTTATGAACAGGCCTAGATTTCCGTTGACCTTGGTATTCTTATTTGCCTTTTCCAATATGTGGTGGAATATATATACACATAAATATATATATATATATATATATATATATATATACACACACACACACACTTGTTTTTTTTTTTTTTTTTAAAGAGAGAGAGAGAGAGAGAGAGAGAGAATTTTTAATATTTATTTTTTAGTTCTCGGCGGACACAACATCTTTGTTGGTATGTGGTGCTGAGGATCGAACCCGGGCCGCACGCATGCCAGGCGAGCTCGCTACCGCTTGAGCCACATCCCCAGCCCACACACACACACACACATTTGTTTCTGGTACTGGGTATTGAACCCTGAGGTACTCTACCATTAAACCAGCCCTTTATATTTTTTATTTTGAGACAGAGTTGGCCACTCTGGCCTCCAACTTGCCATCCTCCTGCCTCAATCACCGGAGTTGCAGGGGTTAACCGGTGTGCTCCTCCATAAACAGTAGGAGGAATGTTAGTCGGATAACTGATACAAATTAAGTGCCTTTGATTGTGTGGTTTCAAGCCTGCTATATTGACCTTTTAACCCTGGAACCAAGTTCAAAGTTATTAAATCAAAAACAAATTGGCAGAAGGTAGGCTTGGTAATTCTTATAATCCCATTGGCTTGGGAAGCTGAGGCAGAAGGGTTTCAAGTTCCAGGCCTGTTTTGAGACAGGGTTTCACCAAATTCCCCAGGCTGGTCTTGAACTGGTGCTCTTCCTGCCACAGCCTCTACAGTTGCTGGGATTCTAGGTGTGTGCCACCATACCTGGATCCTCCTTACTTCTTGAAACCCTGTTTCAAGTTACCTCAGCAATTTTGTGAGGGCCTAAGCAATTTAGCAAGACCCTGTCTGAAAACAAAAAATGAGAGGGCTAGGGATGTGGCTCAGTGGTTATGGACCTCTGGGTTCAATCCCTGGTACCAAAAAAAAAAAAAAAAGAAAGAAAGAAAATTGGCAGCCAGGCATGATGGCACATGCCTATAACCAGCTACTCAGGAGGCTGAGTCAGGAGGTGAAATTCCAGCCTGGCAACTAAGGTAAGACCCTGTCTCAAAATAGAAAAAAAAAAAAAAAACCTTTCTAGGAGTGATGGGAATTGAACCCAGGGCTTCATTGCATGTGCCCTACCACTGAGCTACCTCCCAGCCTTTTTTTCCACAGCAGTAGTGGGGGTTGAACCTAGGGGTGCACTGAGCTACATCTCCAACACTTTTTATTTAAGTGTTATTTTTATATTGTTATATTGTGTGCATGTATGAATATATAACAACAAATTCATCTGTTCACCAAATGCACACCCCTCCAAAAAAATAGGAAAGAAAGAAAAAAAAAAGGAATTAAAAAAAATTTGTTGTCTTGCTGGGTGCAGTGGTGCATGCCTGTAATCCCAGCATCTTGGGTGGATGAGGTAGAGAATCACAAATTCAAAGCCTGCCTCAGCAACTTAGTCAGGCCCTAAGCAATTTAGCAAGACCCTGTCTCAAAATAAAAAAATAAAAAGGACTGGGGGATTTGGCTCAGTGGTTAAGCACCTCTGGGTTCAAAATTTTTGTTATTTTAATAAGAAAAATTATGCAATCCATACAATTTTAGATCCCCAAATAATTTTTACAGATAAAAAAAAATGACATCAATGAACATATTTAAGTAGTAAAAGGCAATTTGGAAATAAATAAAGTTTGTATTCACGATGTAACAACAAAATAAATCTTTTGAATGTTTGCCTTTTGGAATTTCTTGAGGAAAGATGACCCCTTCATATGTTTGGTAACGCRTGGTTACTGTCAGCTTTTGCTTTACTGTGGAAAACCTTGTTGTAGTACCATTTCCCATCCCAAATTTTCCTCACCCTTCTTTTTCCTCCTCTTCTATCCTTTTTTTCTTCCTCCTTCCCCATACTGGAGATTGAACCCAGGGGTGCTCTAGCACCAAGTCACATCCCCACCCTTTTTATATTTTTATTTTGAGACAGGGTCTTGCTAAGTTACCCAGGCTGGCCTTGAACTTGGGACCTTCCTGCCTCAGCCTCCAGAGTGGCTGGAATTATAGGTGAGTACCACCACAACTGGCTCTTCTTCCAATGTGTAATTACAGTTCTGGTGCCACTGGGAAGCCTCCCCCATGTAGCCTGTGAGTCCTGTGAAGGCAGCCCTGTGGCTTCTGAGTGTTCAGCTGACAGGACTCTGCAGAGTGCTTTTCTGTTTTTATCTCTGAGTGGTGTTCCAGCTGTACAGGAGGGATGGTGATGTGCCGGGTCACAGAGAGAAAAGCCGCCACATGTGTGCATGAAGCATGGTGAACTCTGTTTAGCAGAATGATGTAGAAGTTCATCCCCAGAAACCTAATTCAAGCAAATGTGTTTGACTGACCTCACCAAGGACTCAGTTGTGAAGGTCCCTCAGATCCTATATGGAAGGAAGAAGAGAATTAACATTTATGTACCAGCACATTATGTGTAATATCTGATTCAGTGCTCATAATCAAAATACCATCCTCTTGAGGCTCCTCAAGATGAGTGGGAGGGCTGGGGCTGTAGCTCAGTGGTGGAGCACTTACCTCACACATGTGAGGCACTGGGTTCGATCCTCAACACCACATAAAAATAAATAAATAAAGATATTGTGTTCATGTACAACTAAAAAATATTTTAAAAAAAGATGAGTGGGAAATGTATTTTCATCTATGTAAAGCTGGATTTGAACCCAGGTCTGCTTGCCTTCAAGCCCCTTCAACTTTGCTCATATCTTGTGATTTGGCATTTGGCTCAAAAGACATGAAATCTTGATGGGGGAAGTTTAGGAAACTCAGCCTGGACCAGGTCACAAGTGTCAGCTTTTTGAGCCACAAGACAATGAAGTACCAAGAACAAATACATCTACATCATCCAAAACCCAAACTCTTTATTTCCGAAGCTGAACTCAAGAGATCTGTATCAGATCCAAAAGGTTTATGTGATTGTATTGATGTTAAGAGAATGGCCACTAGAGCTTACTTGAAGCAGTGTAGAGTGCGTGAGAACACAGTGCCTGAAGGATCCTACTCCTGAACGCTAAATGACCAGTGACTTTGAGCAAATCATTTAACCCTTCTGGGCTTCAGTGTTCAAAGTAAGGTAGGCCTAGAAGGACTAAGGTCTTCTGTTTAAAAGAATGAGGGATGGGGCTGGGGATGGGGCTCAGTGGTGGAGCACTTGCTTAATATGCACAAGGCTCTGGGTTCAATCCCCAGCACCATACTTACACACCAAAGAGTGAAATAAAAGAAGTAGGGAGGATCCAGGTATGGTGGCACACACCTATAATCCCAGCAACTGTAGAAGCTGTGGCAGGAAGAGCACCAGTTCAAGACCAACCTAGGGAATTTGGTGAAACCCTGTCTCAAAATAAAATTTTAAAAAGGGCAAGACACAATGACCCATGCCTATAATCCCAGTGATTTGGGAGACTGAGACAGGAGGTTCACAGATTTGAAGCCAGCCTCAGCAATTTAGCGAGACTCTAAACAACTTAGTAAGACCCTGTCTCAAAATAAAACACAAAAATGGTAGTGAATGTGACTTAGTGATAGATCACCCCTGGGTTTAATCTTTATGTTTCTGCCCCTCCCCTTCAAAAGTAAAACTACTATAAATATGATGTGTAGATTTATGTGTTACTATAAGTTTTTAACTCCTTTGAGTAAAAAGGAATACAGTTGACAGATTTATGGTCAGAGTATGTTTGGTTAAGAAATTGCCACTTGCCGGTATTGGTGGTGCACATCTCTAATCCAGCAATTTGGGAGGCTGAGGCAGGAGGATCACAGTTTCAAAACCATCCTCTGCAAAAAGCAAGGCAATAAGTAACTCAGTGAGACCCTGTCTCTAATAAAATACAAAATAGAGTTGGGGATGTGGCTTAGTGGTTGAGTGTCCCTTAGTTCAATCC